TGGTGTTTCTCATGAAGTCCAAATAACCATGAACACTGGTTAGGCTAGGCTTTAGTGTTGTCAGGTACAGGGGCCCGTTCTTCATATGTCGCTTAATACATCTGAGATTATTTGAAAGATGCCAGATCTTCTAATCGTGATAACTGATCTCTGGTTAATTTGGTTCTTCAAACGAATTTTGTAATGACAGCAATGTAATGACATCATATAATTAAAAAAGACACCTGACGAAAAAGTTGACACATTTCTGGACTTTTATAAGGAAACAGCAAAGCAAACAAAACTGCATACGTGTTAGAGAAATGAAATGTGCACTGTTTTTATTTTATTTTAAAAAAAATGTTTTAACATGATTTCCAATTATTTATACCTATTCACGATTTCTAGTATTTGTACAGGTTTTACATTTTTATTTCAATGTCAATTAGCAATTCATTTAATTGTATCTTTGAAGCAGATTTGTTATGTGACCGCATTAAAGTTTCTTAAGAATCAAGATCAAGTTATCTGCATCTCCAAGCCACTCATTATAGCCGTCACCTCTCAAATTAATGCACGGCTCAGATTAACTGTATAGCATGCGTGTAAGACTCCAACACAATTATAAAGTAATTATTTAATCCTGAATAAATATTTCAATGAGCAAAACTGGCTGTGTCTATAGTATTATAGACTACACAACATTATTAAGCCAAATCGTCAACAATCAAATCCAGCTAACGGAGTTAGCCACGTACGAAGAACGGACCCCAGGTGGACATTGAACATCCCACAATACCGGAGGATCCACTAACTAACATGTGCTAATGTTTGTCTGTTGCAGATCAAGAGCAGGGAGCAAGCCGGGCCAAGAAGCCCTCCTCACCAAAGAAGAAAAAGAAAAGAGTTGCTGACCTCTTCTCCCCTCAGAAAGCAGCTGAACAATGCAGTGAGGATGGGGGTTCAGATGTAGTAGGTGAGTTAAAAAGTTTCTCCTTAAGTCTCATTGTACAGTGCAGAACGACAATTGATTCCAAGCACAAACTCATTTCCACTAGATTCTAAGCCACAACTGTATTTCCACTATAACATTTTGACCCATAAATCTTTGCAACTAACAATTTTGATAACTGATTAATCTAATGATTATTAGAACAATTGTCTTTACAGTAAGAACATAATACACATCTCATGATTCAGTGTAGTGTACAATACTGAACTCGTGGTTCATGATTCTTTTAACTATATCTGTTTAAAAAAAAAAAATGTAGGCCTCGTGTCCACCAAAAGGCTAGCATATGTTAAAGTTGATATTAATAAAAAAATAACTTAATAGTTAACAACATGTTCAGTTGGATTAATTTAAACACTTCCTGCATCATGACATGATTATGATCCGTAATAATGCATTGATTATGACAGCGCAGCTTTCAGGCATATTAGATTTGCCATTAGCGTTCACCACTTCCATAATGCTTTGGGAAAAAATCACAAGGTAACGACTCTTCAATGCAGGCTTTGATGTTTGTGTACTATTCTGAAATAGCTTTTTAGAACCTCTTTTCTGGCAACTCTGCACTTTACTTGGAGTTTAAAACAAGTCAAATTGGCCCACGGTGTAAGTGTATTTTCTTCAAAATAATCTTTAGTTTAAACTTATTTTAATTGTATTTATATTGCTAATAGCATTTACTCAACCAAAAACAAGACACTCCTAAAATGTCTTGGGTTTTAAAAACAAAACAAAACAATGACTAGTACTGTAGTCTGCAGCATTCCTGAATTGCAGTCATTTAAGTTTTAAGTCATTTTCCAGTGTTTCCTCAAAAGTGGAGATGACCGGTAATAGGCTAGTTTTATGTTGATTTTTCTTGTTTTTTTTTTATTTTTGGAGGGTCAATTTTAAGTATATTTTCTTGAGTGACTTTTTCTTCCATATTTGTTACTAGTTTTTTTTTTTT